AGATTATAATTGATTCTGCTTTTCTGTAAAACTTTAAAAGTGTAGAATGTTTTATTTTTCTCATCTTTGTGATACGTATTTTTTAGCTTAAAAATCCACCTCCCTTTGCTGCATAAAATTTCACATAAGTCAGTTTCCATTTTCAAAATTAAATCAGTGCTATAAATTATAAATACTTTTGTCATGAAGAAAATGCAGTTAAAAAATAAAACTAACCTTCAGTGCCTTTTGAGATTGCGGGAAATTTATTACTTTGGTAAACTTTAATAAAAAGTGTTATATCACTAAAAGATTTTTTTCTGGTTGTTTTGTCTTCTTTATATCTTTGTCAGGTCTTTTCATACAGACGTTCAAATTCAAAGTATGTTTGGTCCCACACTAGAACAAACACAATATCTTGAAAACAAGATAAAGAATGTATTTCTAATTATAAAAGGAGAATTTTTTTGTTGTTTTATGTTGTTTCAGTATTTTGCCTTTATCAGGATAGTTAGCTAAGAACCCAAAATACTTTCTTGTAATGTATCTTCAATGGGATAGATTAGATAGCCAGAAAGATAAATACATACATGCATATATACACATATAGATGTTTTGAAAGAGATTTATTACGAAGAATTGAAATATTTGGTTATGTAGGCTGAAAAATCCCACTATCTGTTGTATGCAAGCCTGAGGCCCAGGAAAGCTTATGGTACAATTCCAATGCAAACCTAAGGCCCTGAGGACCAGGCGTGCCAATGGCCTAAATCCCAGTCGAAAGACCCAAGAGCCAGAAACTCCAATGGCCAAGGGCAGGAGAAGCAGACTGCCCAGCTCTAGCAGAGAGGACTAACTCATCCCCCCTCTGCCTTTTTCTTTCTATGTGGGCCCTCAGTGAATTGGAAGATGCCCATCCATATTATTGAAAGTGTACTCAATAACACACTGTACATAGTGTACTTATTTAAATGCTAATTACTTATAAAAATGTCCTCACAGATGCATTCAGAAACAGCTTTACCAGTAATTTGGATATCTCTTAGCCCAATCAAGTTGGCACATAAAAATTGATCATTACAAACTATTACTAAGAGAATGAAAGAATATATGTATTTACCTCTTTCTAGAAGAGAAACATGTATTTATGTGTCCGTCATTTATTTTACTTTTGCCTTTTTACAACTACCAAATTGCCAACCACAATGGCAACATGATGTTAAATAGGCCCTTCGTTTGAGAGCTATTATGTATGTCATCACTATGATCAAGGAGTGTGAACATAGTTTGTTTTGGGAGCCTGCACCTGGTGCCAGTGACTGAGCTGCTTGAAATCATTTCCAGGGTCAACGATTATATCTACTGCAGCTACAGTGGGACTAACTATGCTAAAGAATAGCTCATGTATGTAGATATGCATCCTGCTGTGATTAAAAAAAAATATGTGACTAATGGCAACAGGGCAAAAAATGAGCATCTATGATGACCCGAAGAAAGACCTGCTGGAGGTATCCATGGATTCACTGGAGGTGCAGGTAGCACCAGACATAATGACCATGAGTTCTTGGATAACAGTGGAGGATGCATTGAAGAACAGATTGAAAGATTCATAGATATATGAGACCTGCTTTCAGCAGAGGAGTCTGTGATAGTTTACAGAGTTCCGTACTCTGGACAGAAAGTCTTGTCATTCCAGGCACTCAAGAAGGGCCTCATCTCCAGGCTCGGAAACTGCTGGCTACACAACTACTCACAGGTGGCACCATGTATCTCCAAAAAGAGCTACCCCACACTGCTGGGCATTGCTTGTGCCAGGGGCTACCCAAATGAGTAAGCAAGATGTGTTAATTGGTATCCAGGGACAATGCCAGTGTGTGGTTATGACTCCTACACAGGAGAAGATCATGCACAGCTCTCTTCAGCAGTAATGCTGGCGTGGTAAGCTGACAAGCTGACAGGGCTGAGTCTGCTGTCACTCTCAGAGAAGAATATCTGAGCCCAAAAGAAGGATCTCTACATCAACAACTAACCATATGAGTACTTCTAAAGCCACAAATGAGGCACCCATTGGCAGCTTTAAGGATGTTCAAGTTATTGTATTGGAGCATAATAATAGTTTGTACTTCATGGAGAAGTACAATTATGAGCTGTCCTAGAAGTCACAGATGAGCAAGGTCCCATGGAGAAGATTCTCAAGATCCTCACTATTATTATTAAGGAAATAGTGACCACGTGGCAGGAGAAACTCTCTTTCAGTGGACTCTGAATGTCAATCCCAAGCATCAAGCTCCTTGAAACCAAGGGACTAAGCATGGCATAAGCTAAGCAGCTTAATGATGGCAAGATATCAATGAAAGGCACTTTAGATCTGAGCATCATTAAAATCATCTTCAAAGGCAGTTGCTGGTGCTTTTGGGTAGACTCCAAGGAGAAACTGAGACTATAAAGTGGTATCTACTCAGGCCTAGCATATTAGGCCATTCTTGCTTTGCTATAAATAAATATCTGAAGCCGAGTAATTTCAAAAAAAAAAAAAAAAAAAAAAAACAGAGATTTAATTTAATTTAATTTTTAATTGGCTCATGGTTCTTCAGACTTTACAGGAAGCATGACTCTGGCAATTACTTCTGGTGAGGCCTCAGGAAGCTTACAGTTATGGCAGAAGACAACAGGGGGCCAGCATGTCACAGGGTAAGAGGAGGAGCACGATAAACAGCACAGGGAGGTCCCTGACTCTTAAATAAACAGATTTTGCATGAACAAACTGAAAGAGAACCCACTTGTCACCAACTGGGTGATGTTAAAACATTCGTGAAGGATCCTCTCCCATGATCAGTTTACCTGACATGAGGCCCCACCTCCAACATTGGAAATTACATTTCAACCTAAGATTTGGAAAGAAAAAACATCCAAGCTATATTATTCTGCTTCCAGCTACCCAAATCTCATGTCTTTCTCACATTTCAAAGTACAATCATGCCTTCCTAAGATTCTCACATGTCTTAACCCTTCCAGCGTTAACTCGAAAGTCCCAAACCTTATATAAAACGGCAAGCACCATGCTAATCATCCTCATCCCTGAAACCTCATGCCATTATCTACTTTCAACATTTCCTAGTATGTCCTTTAGAAATGCTTCCTGGAAATAGCTGTTTTTCTGCCTCCTACTTTCGGTTACCTATATTTTAACTAAGAAGTTTCAATTTGGTTTATTAATACATTGGCTTACTTTTACCAACTGACTTTATAATGTCCATTAGTCCTACATTTCTGGGCTTGTGTTTTTTAATGTTCATGCCATCTTTTGCATTGATGGAGCTCTTATTACTGTTATAATTTTTATTTTCTTATTCGATGCTTTCTTGTTTATTCTCTGTCTACTGGTTTTTCTATTTTATATTCTAGAGCAGAGATACAAAATCTATTTTCTAGGCAGGCAGATGTGGCTTAACACCTCTTTTGTAAGTCAAGTTTTATTGATGCATAACCATGTCTGTTTGCTTACATATTGTCTCTGTCCGCTTTCAAGTTACAATGGCATAGTTGAGTAGCTGAGAGAGAGATCTGAGTGTCAAAGGCTAAACATTTACAGAAAATGTTTGCCAATCTTTACTCTACAGGAAGTTACTTTTAAAAGCTCACCATATACATTTACATGAATAATTCAAATAACATTTTAACCATTCCTATGAACAGTATAAGGTTTGCCAAAACACTTTATGATTTCCTCTTTTCAACATACATGTTATTTTCTCAATATTTTTAGTTATTTCTTTTTAAATTTATAAATTAGATAATAATAATTACTATTGCTACTGACAGTGGATATTTGCATTTAATTAATACTTTTTATTTTGTTTACCATTCTTTTTGTACCTTATGCTATTTGTGCTCAATGGCTTTCTTCTTAAGTTCACATTTTGTGATTGTTTTACTTCCAGTTATCTTGACTGTAAGCCACATTACAAATAAGCTATTTTTTCATCAACATATTTTTGTTTACTTCACCTTCTTTTGTGATTTGTTGTATAAATAACTCTGGGCTGTGAGTCACTTTCTCTCAAACCTTGAGAATATGATTCCACGGCATATGTTTTCCATTGTTACTGCCAAAACGTCTGTGCCAAAACGTCTGTGGTCAGGTTAAAATCCATTCTTTGTATGTGACGTTTAAAGAAAACTTTTTTAGCTTCTTTTAAGCACTTACGTCTGTCTCTATTACTCTACACTTTAACTATCATTAACCTAGCCATGTGTTTATTTATTGCTATCTTTTTTGACACATTTTGCTTTTTTATTTTATAGATTCACATTTGTCATAAATTTTGCCAAATGCGTAGCTATTGTCTTTCCTCCTGAAACTTCCATTGGATGGCAATTCAATTCAATCTCTCCTGAATACCTCTCAATAACATCTTTATATTTTCAACTTTATATTTTCCTGTGCTTCAGTATAGATTAATTGTTTGGTAATAACTTCCAGTTAATTAATTTTTGGCTGTCTCTAATATTCTGTATTTCCTATTGATTAAAAAAAAGATTCATAATGCATTTTTTATTAAAAATCTTTTTTATCTGCTCATTTATCATAATATTTTGAAATTTGAACATTTCTCCATGTGTCATAAAATTTTTTTCAGATATTTTATTCAGAGTAATTTGGTATTCCATATCTAATTATTCTAATATTTTCAGGTTTAAATTTTTGATGATTGCTCCTTACATTGATTTGTTTTTCTCATCTGCTTTAAATGAACTTTGAATGTGAAAGGATTTTTAATATCCTTTGAAAGTGAATTGAGAACTTTATCCTTCTCTTTGGGAGACTCACAGATCTAAATGGGAAAATCTTCTTCCAGAGAAAACTTGCATGTACTACTTTTGAGTTGCTAAGGGCCCCACTGTTATAGGAATCACATTATTCCTCCTTGAGGATCCTCGCTGGATTGAACCTACGATTAATGAACATGCCTTACATACAAACCAGACCTAACTAAGTTTCATTATATGGATTGTAATACCATTGCTGGCAAACTGCTGCAGGGGCATGATCATTGATTATTTCAGATATCCACTTCCTAGGAGCCACTGTTTCAATTCCGCATATAAATCTTTCTTTTTCATTGTGTAAAATTATATGTAGACCTTCTTTAGATCTTGTAAGACTATTATCTCAAACTGTGAATGCTATCCAGAGTCTACTTATTCTGCAGAAGAAGAGTTCTTACAAAATTTTTGTCCACCGTTAATGACAATGTGGACACCCCTACTTCTCCCTCTCTTTCCATTTTAGAGCTCAATTTTAAAAATAGAACTTATCTTTTGTTTTTATCACATATTTATTTGTTAATATATAATTTCTAAGCTCCCTTATAGTGGATATTTACTGTTTTATTTCTTTCCCCTACAACAATGTCTGGAATACTATTGGGAATCAATCAATCAATCAATCAACCAATCAATTAAATACATAAAAGGACAAATTAAAGTAAAGCTAAATTCATATATAATGTGTGGTGAAGTTGGTATCTACCCAGAGTTATTTCTCCTTCTGGATCTATATGTTCCAATCTTCTCGATTTTTCAAGAACCAATTTAAATATTTTCTTCTTCATATAAATCAATTTTCTGCCTCTAACCTATTTGCAGTTTGCATTTTTTCTATTGTAACTGGGTTTTTTTCTTGGATGCCGGTCATCATTGTGGGTTCTTGGCCTCCAATCTCTTAAAGAATAAGCAGTGGAGCCGCTTTAGCTGCACCGTATGCTCGCAAAGTGAATATCGCACCAAAAAAACTGTTGCAGAAAGGTGATTTATTTAGGTAGAGAAAAGAGAAGGAAAGGAGAAGAGAAAGCTTCCAGGAAGACTGTGGAAGGGGATTCCAAAGGGGAAAGTCCTGGAGAGAGCTCCCACCCTGTGGGAGGGGATTCCAGAAAGCTGGAAAATCCGGCGCAGGTTAAGGAGGACAAACTTTTATTCTGGAAGAAACTCCCACCTTCTCCAACACCCTGGGCCAATGAAAGGAGTTCCTTAGAACTTCCGCTGGAGTGATTGACTTTTAGTTTTTTCCCACACCCGGGAAATTCAAACCTAAAGGTTGAATCTCCCTGATGGAGAGGGATGGGAGGGCGGCACGGCGCAGGGGAAATTCTTGCCCTTAAAGCTATGCCCTCTCATGGACCCGGAAAGAGAACACATTCCCTCACTATGTTGTAGCATCTTTTACATATTCTCCTTTTATCTGAAGAAATTCCCATATGAATATCACATTCTCAAGGTGGGAAATAAAATTCAACATTTTAGCTTTCTTTGTACCTATGATACAAGCATGTAATCCAGGTTCTGACAATCAGAGATACTTTTATGAGTCTAATGAGAAAGAGGGCATTGCTATAAATTAGCTACTTTTTTGACTGTTTTTGGTACTTGAGGTAACGTCTGGTTAAGAATTATCAGTTTCCCAGAGGTATCAATGGAAAATGTTTTATCATTGAAATCTAACCCTCCAGGTTCTGTAACATGAGCTTTGGTGCCTGTGCCTATACGAGGTGGCATGAATTTGTGAGTTGGCTTACTGATTGGGTGATTTGGTTATGATTCTGATTACATTTTTCTTGATCTGGTATAATAACTTTGACTTTCCTGAAGATAATACAATCTACTTAATGGGCCTTAAAAATTCTTCTTCTGTTTAAACAAGCAAAAATTGATCTTTTGTTTCCAACTAAGAATTCAAAATAATATATAAAGTTATCAGATTATACCACTTTATAATTTTCCAAGAGTTATTTTAATTATATTTTGGTAACATTTTTCCAAATGAAGGAAAAATTATCTCTGTATGCATTGTCTGACACCATTCTGCTTTGCTGTTTTTAAGAAAATACTTTATTATACTTAATTTAGTCAATTTATTTATTATTTATAGTATTCACATCTTTTAAAACCAAGTCTCTTAACATTTTATATTTAATACCTTGTTGCCTACTCTTCTACTCCTATGAACACTGTAATAATCACCTACTTCCTTTTCTCATTTGCCTCATTCATTCTTTTCTTTGTCTGTGTGTGTTTCTGATTTTTAAATATATATTCTTTTTTTAAAAAACTGTACTTTAAGTTCTGGGGTACATGAACAGAACGGGCAGGATTGCTACATAGGTATACACTTGCCATGGTGGTTTGATGCATCCATTCCCGCCGTCATCTACATTAGGTGTTTCTCCTAATGTTTTCCCTCCCCAGTTCCTCCCCCTGCTATCCCTTCCCCAGTCCCCCACCTGCCTACGGGCCCTGGTTTGTGCTATTCCCCTCCCTGTGTCCATGTGTTCTTATTGTTCAATGCCCACTTATGAGTGAGAACATGTGGTATTTTGTTTTCTGTTCTTTGTCAGTTTGCTGAGAATGACGGTTTCCAGATTAATCCATGTCCCTGCAAAGGACATGAATGCATACATTTTTATGGCTACATAGTTTTCCATGGTATATGTGTGCCACATTTTCTTTATCCAGTCTATCATTGATGGGCATTTGGGTTGGTTCCAAGTCTTTGTTATTGTGAACAGTGCCACGATAAACATACGTGTGCATGTGTCTTTATAACTGAATGTTTTATAATCCTTTGTGTAAATACTCAGTAATGAGATTGCTGGATAAAATGGTATTTCTAGTTCTAGATCCTTTGAGGAATCACCACACTGTCTTCCACAATGGTTAAACTAATTTACACTCCCACCAACAACGTAAAAGCATTCCTGTTTCTCCACATCTTCTCCAGTATCTGTTGTCTCCTGATTTTTTAGTGATTTTCTTTCTAACTGGCATGAGATTGTATCTCAATGTGGTTTTGATTTGCATTTCTTAACGACCAGTGATGATGAGGTTTTTTTTTTTTTTTTTTTTTCATGTTTGTTGGCTGCATAAATGTCTTCTTTTGAGAAGTGTCTGTTCGTATCCTTCCCCCACTTTTTGATGTGTTTTTTTTTTTCCTTGTAAATTTGTTTAATTCCTTTATAGATTCTCGTTCTTAGCCCTTTGTCAGATGGGTAGATTGCAAAAATTTTTTCTCATTCTGTTGGTGGCCAGTTCACTTTAATGATAGTTTCTTTTGCTGTACAGAAGCTCTGAAGTTAAATTAGATCCCATTTGTCTATTTTAGCTTTTGTTGCCATTGCTTTTGGTGTTTTAGTCATGAAGTCCTTGCTTATGTCTATATCCTGAATGGTATTGCCTAGTTTCTTTTCTAGGGTTTTTATGGTGTTAGGTGTTGTGTTTAAATCATTAATCCATCTGGAGTTAATTTTTGAATAAGGAGTAAAGAAGGGATCTAGTTTCAGCTTTCTTCTTATGGCTACCCAATATCATTTATTAAATAGGAATCCTTTCCCCATTGCTTGCTTTTGTCAGGTTTGTCAAAGATCAGATGGTTTTAGATGTATGGTGTTCCTTCTGAGACCTCCGTTCTGTTCCATTAGTCTATATCTCTGTTTTGGTACCAGTAACATGCTGTTTTGATTACTGTAGCTTTGTAGTATAGTTTGATGTCAGGTAGCATGATGCCTTGTTTATTCTTAATCAGCATCTGCAAGAAGTAATTCTTTGATTATTCAGTTTTTCAGAAAAGAAAATTATTTGGCTCTATGAGATTATATATTTATGTAATTGTTTTTTTTTTTTCAATACAAAACTATGGTAGAATATAAGTTTTATTAAGAAAAAGACAGGATGTCAGCCTCTTGTCAGATGGGTAGACTGCAAAAATTTTTTCCCATTCTGTTGGTTGCCAATTCACTCTAATGACTGTTTCTTTTGCTGTGCAGAAGCTCTGGAGTTTGATTAGATCCCATTTGTTTATTTTGGCTTTTGTTGCCAATGCTTTTGGCGTTTTGGTTGTGAAGTCCTTGCCTACACCTATGTCCTGAATGGTTTTGCCTAGATTTTCTTCTAGGGTTTTTATGGTGTTAGGTCTGATGTTTAAGTCTTTAATCCATCTGGAGTTAATTTTAGTGTAAGGTGTCAGGAAGGGGTTCAGTTTCTGCCTTCTGCACATGGCTAGCCAGTTTATTAAATAAACCAATACCGTTTATTAAACAGGGAATCCTTTCCCCATTGCTTGTTTTTGTCAGGTTTGTCAAAGATCGGATGGTTGTAGATATGTTGTGTTTCCTCTCAGGCCTCTGTTCTGTTCCATTGGTCTATATCTCTGTTTTGGTACCAGAACCATGCTGTTTTGATTACTGTAGCCTTGCAGTATAGTTTGAAGTCCAGTAGTGTGATGCCACCTGCTGCAAGGGGCTGATATCCATAATTTACAAAGAACTAAAACAGATCTACAAGAAAAAACAAACAAACAAACAAACGCATTCTAAAGTGGGAAAAGGATATGAACAGACACTTTACAAAAGAAGACATACAGGAGGCCAACAAACATATGAAAAAATGCTCATCATCACTGGTCATTAGAGAAATGCAAAGCAAAACTACATTGAGATACCATCTCACACCAGTTAGAATGGCGATCATTAAAAAATCTGGAGACAACAGATGCTGGAGAGGGTGTGGAGAAATAGGAACACTTTTACACTGTTGGTGGGAGTGTAAATTAGTTCAACCATTGTGGAAGACAGTGTGGCGATTCCTCAATGACCTAAAAATAGAAATCCCATTTGACCCAGTAATCCCATTACTGGGTATATATCCAAAGGATTATAAATCATTCTACTATAAGGAGAGATGCACACGAATGTTCATTGCAGCACTGCTTACAATAGCAAAGACCTGGAACCAACCCAAATGCCCATCGATGATAGACTGGACAGGGAAAATGTGGTACATATACACCACGGAATATTACACAGTCATCAAAAACGATGGGTTCCTGTCCTTTGTAGGGACATGGATGAATCTGGAAACCATCATTCTCAGCAAACAGACACAAGGATAGAAAATCAAACACCACATGTTCTCACTCACAGGCGGGTGTTGAACAATGAGAACACATGGACACAGGGAGGGAAGAACTACACACTGGGGTATGTTGGGGGGAAATG